ATCCAACAACTTCTGCTGGCCAAATTGGCAGTTTTCTTGCTTTCGCCGACATGAACACAACCCTTATGGTGCTGCTCCATTGGATAACCCAATTAGATTACCAAACGAAAATATTGCTAGAAAGTTGAATGCGAAATGGCAAGGCCAAAACTATTTTAACTCGAATTCTACGAAGTTGGAAAAATTATATAAAATATTTTAAACATCTAAAAATTAGATTTTAGGCACATATTTTTGGGAATTTAAATATTAAAGAATTCGGAAAACCGAAAATCATATTTTTTATAATATTAAAAAAATATTTTAAATACCCCAAGTGAAGATTTTCAACAGATTATAAACTAAATATGATTTTACAATGGCCTATATAAAAATGATTCCATCAGATCCATCATTTTACAGCCTATCAACAGCAATAAATCGCTGAGCAAAGAGAGATAAATAAGGGACAGTAAAGCTCACAGGTAATTAAGATCAGGGGCGATAAGTTTTATGGCGCAAAGCCCCAGAAGTTCGGCCAGAAACAAAACCAAAGTTCGTGCCTTAAGTCTTTCGTTTTGCGAAATTTCCTCTGTGTCGTTGAATTACAGCAGCAATTCCCCCAAGCAAGTCGAACAAAAAACGAGAAAAAAACCGATGGCAATAAAGCACAGCGCATCTTCAATAAATTTCATGCAGCTGCCGACAAGATAAAGCTGTAGAAATTATACAACAAAATCAATTGCAGTTCGGTTGCCTCCGTTTCGTTGTTTTTATTTTTCAGCTTCTGCTGTATTTTTATTTTTTTGTATTTTGCTGGCTCTTTGAGGCTTTCGCCGCATGCCGACAGCTGTCTTATATAATAATTGACATGAGTAATCATTATGATCGCTTGTTTGAACAATGACCATTAACACTTTGCTGCCTCCTCTGCCTTTTGTTGCACTCCGCAGAACCGGAGAAAAGTTTTGCGTAATGGGTAAATTTTCTGTATTTAAGAAAAATCCAATACTGGAGATCAGAATGGTTATTAAATGAAGGATTGCTTACCTGACTGAGATATTTTTAAACACACTTATGTCATTTTTTGACAGACATATTTCTTGATTCCAATAATCCACTTAGAGCAGCTGGCCAAACGCACTTTTTTCTCGACACGTGCTGCCGACTAAGTTGGCAATCGATCGAGTATCCGATTGACTGATTGTCCGATTGACTGATTGACTGACTGACTGCGCGCCTGAGTGACTGACTCATCGAGCTGTCAGATGGGAAAAACTTGTGCAGCCAGCGAGTCATCCGAACATCTGCGACATCTTAAATCTACAATTCCAATTGCACACAAAAAACACAAAGTACAATACAGAAAACTGAAAACCGAAAACAAACGATGGCAAATGGCGGCCGACGAACAACAAAAGAATGTGTTGCAATTGAAAATAATTGTTTATGCTTGGCATTAAAATCATTACAAAACGACAAATACAACGCAGTCGCGTCGGTTGTTGAAATTTTTCAAGTTTCCAGCATTAACATTGACAGTTTGCCGGAGAGAGGAAGCCGTGCAAAAATCCAAATGAGAACGGCAAACAATGAACGGTAGCTGCAAACACTTGCAAAAACCGAAGAACACGCCGAAATTATCCTTAAAAGGAGCTGGCAGTTGCTTGCCCTTCTAAAAATATCATTTAACGAGGCAACGATTATGTTTAAGCAGTGTTGGAAAACGGTTGTTAAAGCTTAAGAAGATTCTAGCATACCTAGAAAAATTACTTTACTTATAAATTTATTAAGTGTTAGGCTATGTATGATAACGAAATCCATCTAGTCTACTTTTAGAAAGTTTGAAGGCCCCCTGAAGGGCTTGAAAAATATTCAAAGAAAATTGTTCAAAGTGCATTTATGCAATGAATGCACAGGTTACATCCGCCACAACATTATTTCGTTTGAGGGACACACAACAATCGCTTCCTCGGCGCAAAACGGCAGTCTCCTCTAGGTTTTTCTGCCACTTTGGTGGCATAAAAAGGCAGCCAAGCCGAGGGACTTGATGAGCCCGCTTGACAGGTGACTGCTCACAATTTATTTGCATTAGTTGGCAACTGTGAAAGGCTAAAAGGCTGAAAAGCCACAGACTTCAAAGTGGTTAGGCAAACAGAAGCCGCCGGCGGCAAGAAAAGTTTGAGTCGATGATGGGTTCGCAGAAGTTCGATTGTAAATATTTGGCCACCAAATAAGAAAAGGGTCTAAAAGAACTCAAGTCGATGGTAGTGGTCATGATTCACCAGTGTTGGAAAGGGTACATTACATAAGTACCTAGGTGGGGTAAAAGATTATCCATTAATACAATTCGAAAATAAAGAATTTCTTAATAATCCAATTTAAATTAAAAATCAATAACTAATGGTTAAACAAAAAATACCAAAGAAGGTTTAAAAAATAAAGAATTTTTTATTAATTTAAGCTAAATAAAAAATTCCAAAAAAGGTTTCTTGACACAAGTATCGATTAACTGGAAAACTTTAATCATTCTGCAGACACTTTGTAGATTGGCCAGTTCTGCATAACACATTCAAATGGCCACACATATCCACCCACCATATATCCACCGATTCTGTCACTCAGCCGTCGCCTTCTGTCAACTTAATGAGCGCTTAAATGCCAAATTAAAAATGGGCTCCCTTCTTTTGGCTGAGAAACTCGTGACTTCGGTGGGCGATTCGGTTCGATTCGAACTCATTTCGGATTCTCTGGCGTTGTTCTTTCGTGTCAAGTGGCCATAGTTCGGTGTACCGGCCATAATTTTGTTTTCATTAACAATAAATTTCAATTAAGCTCACGATTTGGATATTAATAAAGTTTTCAGCGGCACGAAACGCAAATAGCCCGAAAAAACCGCACCGAAAATAAGGCCACAAACGGATGCCAAGTGTGTAAACCTTATTTCTATATTTTTTTGGCTTTTTGGAGGTGATTTCTGGTGATTTTGCGCTTGTCGCCAGATTTGTAGACCGAATCCGTGGCTTGTACAAATTTTCATGGCCCGCGTTTATTGGCAACACAGTTTAAGACAACAGACATTGGATCGTGTGGGTGCTTGACTGGATTTTCAACTCTCTGGATTGGTTCTGTTTTTTTTTTACTTTTTGGGGGGCTCGAATAATTTTCTGATTTTCAGTTTCTAATTTCCGTCGAATATTTTGGCAGGGCGCATTGACAAATGGCCGCGAAAAAAATTGAAAGAGGAGTGCCAGTTGCCCATTCTTAGCTATGTGACATTTGTTTAACCTGCCACTTGGTTGGCAAACAAAAATTCCCCATTAAACCAATATTCGTCATTAAAAAATCGTAAAAGACTTAAACTCATTTTTTCTTAATTTAATATTTTGTTTTTTTCCGAGTGGAGTTCATAAGTTCGCCATTCATCATTTGCACACCTTTCCCACAGTCATAATTGCCGTTTATTGTGCATATTAATTAATTAAGGCATTTGCAAGTCGAATCCGATTGATTTGAATCGCTGGCCAACCCATTATTAATTAGCAAATTGCTTAAATGCCGCACATCAAGCATACGCCGCGTGGGCCCGCGTTGAAGATGGCAATTTGCGGTTGATTTACAGCCAAATATAGTGGGTGCCCTAAGTCAGCTATTTATTGTAACTCACAGCTGTCGCTATTTTATTAGCCCGGCGATCAAATAAATTCTTTGTTTACCTATTCGAATTTATCTGAATATATAGTTGGATATGTATGTATTTTCCCACGATCTGCAAGGGGCGGCAATTGCCGCTTAATTGAATTTCTGTCAGTTCGAAGGCGGGTCAGGGAGTTTTTGTAATTAGTTTTCTCAGTTAATTAAAAATACTTAGACCAGATGTACATTCTACATACATAGGTCCATTCATTACGCACTGCAAACAGATCTCTCTCCCCGACTTTGGCATTCATTTGTACCATGTATATCGCATATGCAGTTCTCTACAAGCGACTGGGGGAACTAAGGTGAGGCCGTAAATTAAGTGCCAGCCTCCGAATGTCAAAACATATGCCAAAGTCGGGAATAGATAGACAAACGCAATGCAAAACCAGCAGCAAAATCAGTGGAGTCGGTAAAGTCGGCCCACAGCAACAAGAACCGCTAGCGGACAATGACCATGACTGCAGCGGTCGTAGAAAGATATATACGACTCGTATGTAAGTATATCTCTATAAAAAAGTCGGTAAGACCAGCAGCAAAGCGTTACCGTTAACCATGACGAACGGGGCACAGTGGGCCAAAAAGAGCAGCACCATAAAAGGTTGGGAAAGGGGGTACCAAAAGCCCATAAATTCAGTTAGTTTTAGAGGGCAATGAATGGGAGAATTTAATGGCTTTATAAAGGAAATAAAGCGCAATTAAAATGTATAGGTTAGAGGAAAATAGAAAACATGGTTTTAGAAATTGTGTTGCTTAAAAATAGATATGTCCAATAAAGGTACTAAAATTTAAAAGTGTCTTTAAAAATATTTCAAGAATCTATCTAAAATTCTGGGTATGACCCTCTAACTCAATAATATTTTATAACACTAATACATTTATTATACAAATTTATGTAACAAAATGTTAATCAAGCCGACATTATCATTGTTATTTATAGAAAAGTATGGAATTTTCACTTGAATGAGATATTATTATTAAGAGATCATAGATGGTATATTTCTATATTTTTAAAATAAAGTTCTAGACCCACGGTACCCAGCATATGAGTGTGAGTGGTGCGTTTGGCGGTGGTGCTGGGTGCTTTTTTAGACGGACAGTCTCCCCGGGCGTATAATTAAATCATTTGCTGGCCAAGTCGACCAGTTTCACTTAGCCAAGTTTCTCCGCCTGCCCGGGGGCGCTAAATTAACTTGTATTTAAAGGCCCAATTAGGCGACAACTTGAGTTCTGGCCAAAGTTTTTCCCGGCCAGCCCCCGAAAATGTTATATTTAATTGAACTTCTTTGATAGGCAATTCCCAGCCCTCAGTCAAAGGCGAAATGTCAAAGCTAATCGAGGTGTTTCTGGGGAATCTGTGGACGCAGCGCTTCACCTTTGCCCGCATGGGCCTGGACTTGCAACCGTATAACAATGGCAAAAAGGGCAAAGTTCTGCGATCTCCGATGCTTTATGGCATTATGTTTCTGGCCACCGGCTTTGAACTCTGCACCGTGTGCGCTTTTATGGTCCAACATCGCAACCAAATCGTGCTCTGCTCCGAGGCCTTGATGCACGGCTTGCAGATGATCTCCTCGCTGCTGAAGATGGCCATATTCTTGGCCAAGTCCCACGACCTGGTGGCCCTCATTCAGTTGATTGAGACGCCTTTTACGGACGAGGATCTTGGCGTTTCGGAGTGGCGATCCCAAAATCGCAGGGGCCAACTCATGGCTGCCATTTACTTTATGATGTGCGCCGGCACAAGTGTCTCCTTTCTGCTGGTTCCAGTGGCTTTGACCATGCTGAAATACCATTCCACGGGGGAGTTTGCACCAGTCAGTTCGTTTCGAGTGCTGTGAGTTGTATTTAAGATATTAAAGGTATTCAAATCCTTTCAAATCTTACCAAAGAGTATTACGGTTTAGATAGTTAGATAGTTATTTGTATGTGTTTGTTACAGCCTCCCCTACGACGTATCTCAGCCGCATATCTACGCAATGGACTGCTGCCTGATGGTATTCGTGCTAGCCTTCTTTTGCTGCTCCACCACCGGAGTGGATACCTTATATGGATGGTGTGCCCTGGGCCTGAGTTCCCAGTACCATCGACTTGGCAAGCAGCTGATGTGGATCCAGGAGCACTCCGATCCATCTCGTTATGATTTGGGTTTAAGTGGGCTTTTTGCCGAGCATGCTCGTCTTTTAAGGCTAGTCCGAAATTTCAATATCACCTTTATGGAGATTGCTTTCATTGAGGTTCTCGTGATCTGTGTGCTCTATTGCTCCGTAATTTGCCAGTACATAATGCCACATACCGATCAGAACTTTGCCTTTCTGGGTTTCTTTTCCATGGTGGTCACCACCCAGTTGTGCATCTATCTTTTTGGTGCAGAACAGGTGCGTTTGGAGGCTGAGGGATTTTCCAGGGAGCTCTACGAGGTGATACCTTGGCAAAAACTTTCTCCACAACACCGAAGGCTTTTACTTTTCCCCCTTCAAAGAGCTCAACACGAAACTGTCCTGGGTGCCTATTTTTTCGTGCTGGGAAGACCTCTACTCGTCTGGGTGAGCACTTCAATGATATTTCCATTAAAAATGTCGCATAAAAATATTTTTTTTAGATATTTCGCACAGCGGGCTCTTTTACAACTTTGCTGAATGCACTGTATGCAAAATACGAGACGTCTTAGAAACAATAAACTTACTTTTATATTGGAACCCCTCCTTTATAGCCCAATAAAGGCATGTGTTATTGTTTTTTATTTCGTTTTTATTTAGGTTTAAAATTACATTTAACATTTCTCGTTTTATGTACACACACATAATAAAATTATGCTCAATTAGACAAAAAATAATTACATTAGATACGCGTATAAGACATAAAGACACATATATATATATATAGATATAGTAGACTACGGGCTAAGTTTAAGAATTAACAAACGATGCGAGACAAAAAGCAGACAGACCAAAAAAAACACTGATATGTAGCATATAGTATGGTATAGATTTTTGCAATACAGGTGTTTCTGTGGAAATGAACACTAAGATATAGGGGGCTCTTCTTTTCTTTTGTGGTGGCTTGCATTCATCTCGAAATAAAATAAATAAAACTAACAAGGGAAAACGAAAGTGGTGATGGGTGTTTTTTAGGTTTTGTTTGTTTTTGTTTCTATTTTTCTTTTAATAGACGCTTAACTGAGGGCCAATAAGGGCTCTATTTCCAGGGGATCCTGGATTTTGGGACCCGCCTTCTTGCGGTACTTCTTCTGCAGCTTTGTCTTGGACAACTTCGACTTGTTTTTGGATGAGGTTTTCGGCTCGGACTTGGCCTTCTCCAACTCCTTTTCCCTGTCCAGCAGCTCCAGCTGCTCGAATATGTTCTTGGGATGCGGATGTGAGTGCGGTGCAGTGGCATTCTTGGCCGCATAGACAACCACAAACTGCGAGAATGCCGAATCGGCGGGTGTATTGATGTCCGCAAAGTCCCGGAAATTGGCGAACTGCTCCTCCGGATAGGTGTACTTCTGCACGAAGCCCTCGGAGGGACGTCCGTGGCCATTGTTGGCATCGCCATAGATGTAGTCACTGTTGTCCTCGGGATGGTAGGGCATCTCCTCCTCCGGATAGAAGGTTCCGCCTCTCAGGACACCGAAATCCCCACTTCCCAGTATGCTGGCATCGAAGTTTCGCTGCTGATTTGCCGGCTGGGGTTGCTGCTGAGGTGCGAGAAGTGGCAGGGGCAGGTTTAGGGGAGTGGTCTCCGACACAGGAGGACCATGACCAAAGTAGGGTCTCGAGTGGCCCAGAGGTGGTGCCTCGTGGTAGAACGGTGGATAGAAGTTCTGGGCAGCCTGCGTATGCGAATCGCCCACTATTTTCGTATTCGGATTGGCAATGGGTCGAAATTGCTCCTCCTCGTCGGGATTTTGCTGGGCTGCCACTTGAAATTGCCTGGGCTGTGCTCTTGGCTGAATTCTGGCCTGGATTTGGGGCTGAAGTTGCGTAGTCGGCGGCATATGGAAGTGTTGCTCATGCGATCTGAGTACGGTGATTGGCGAGAAATCATTGGGCTCCATCAGCATGTCGCTGTCCTCTTCCGGGAATTCAGCTGAAATTATACAAAATGAAGAGGAGAAATCAGAAATCAGTCAAAGAAAACCACTCGAATGCTTTGAGGGCTTCGGTGTTTCGAGTTTTTGTTTTTCGAGGAGCCCTTGTGCGATGTTCAGACATCGAGTGGTGAAATGTGTTGCTGAACATGCGTCTGGAGTTTTAAAGATCACTCGATGGAGCAGGAAATGCTGCAGAAGATGACATTTCCTCTGGCAAATGTGGCTCAGAAACCCCTCTATTTAAATCAATAAACTTTGCAAGGTTTTTATTTTCATAGAATAACTCATAACACCTCATCATTATCTATTTTTAATATAAAACCATTATTTAATGCATTTAATAACCATATAAATACTAAAATTTAACAAATTCGTTCATAGTTTTTTTTTAATTATTAAAAAGCTTGAAAATTATGGTTGCTGAGTTTGCCAACGGTAATAATAATGTTATATTATTATTTTCTGTAATTAAACATGAGGTTAATAGTTTTCGAAATGCGTTAAATACTTTTGCATTGGCCTGCATTCTGGCACCTTCAATCTCCACATCTTTCAGGCATTTCATTTCGTGGCCACTGGATTTTTGGGCCAGATTCAGTTAACGCGATGCGAAGTCGTATGCCAACTCAATTACACTCTAGTTTTGGCCCGAGTTTTGGTTTTTGAGGTCTGTTCTGCAGTTTTTTGTCCATTTTTTGTTCGTTTCTCATTTTTTTTGGGTCTGGCTGGGCAGTCAAATGTCGTATCGATAAAAGTCGATAATAATGTGAGCCGGGCAGCTGGCATAAATGTTGTGTGCTTTGGCCTGTGTTCTAGGCATAAATGTTTTGGCCCCAGCAGCTCCCGATCTCCCCCATATAATAGCATATATTTAAGACCCCACCCTCATCAGCCAAAAGCCTTTCGTACTCGCATGCGATTTTCGTTTCAACACAATTGCTGCTGCTGCTTGTAAATATTTTTTTTGGCTTTTTGAAATTTTTCAAAGTTTTCACTGCATGCTATTTTTTTTTTTGATTTTAGCCCAACACCCGCTGGTAGTTTTTTTTCTTTATCTTTCGCTTCAACTGGCAAATGCCGAACATAATGAGTTTGTTAAGTGTAATTGGGTTTCGTCGACTCTTGGCTCAAAGCGAAAAGTCTGTTTTCGTCGATTTTTGGCTCTTGATAGTGACTTGCTGCCAGAAATGGGTCAAACACACGCCGATATGTCGTGTGGTAAGTATAGATTACTTTATTATTTATTTGAGTGGGGGATATTTGGTGGCACGATTCGGCTAATTTACGAAATTGCCCCGATTTGCTGCTGGGTAATCGATCACGTACACAGGACACCCACAGCAAATGGGGAAAAGTCACACTGATGGAAAAAGGTAAGTGAGTATCAATTGATTGATACTGATAGAATGATTTATTTATCAAGTCTTTTAAGACTTATAAGAGCCATGATTAGGCTTTCGAATGGCCCATTTGGATATTACTATTTATTAATAGCTAAAATACAGAGATTTTTCTCTCTGCATCGGCAAGCGTTTTCCATACATCAATATCAAATGATACAAAATTGTCGAACAGCTCAACTCAATTGGCGGCGATTTGGAGTGTCTGTCCGTGGTTCATCAATCATCGTTTTTGAGCCACAGGCTGGCAATCAAAAATGAAATGGTATCGATTTGGAAATCAAAGCAAATAAAACGACTTTCTCTCTGGCCCTTTGACTATTTTCAGGGCTCTTTTGTAACTCTTGATACATAACAAACATGAAATTCAAATATTTGATTTCCTTTTTTTTCAATGTGTAATCATCAGTTTTCTTAAATTTCCATTAAAGCACTTTGTATAATATATAAAATTAATGCACATACATAACTGATTAAAAATGGGAGCAAGTTTAATGAATCAACTTTTTAAGTATAAATTTGTTTACGTGTTTAGCACTGTGCATCTTAATTAACTTGTTAAATTGAAGGTGACATTGCTCAGGCATTTTGATGGATATTATCTCAGATTGAAAACAAAATTCCAAAGGTTTTATTTTTTTTTATGAGAATTAAAATTGGTACATAAATTTTGTCACTCACAATGTAAAACCTGTGGCAATTGCTTTATTCATTATCCAATTAAAGTTGCCTTGCTCACTATTTTCTTTGTTTTTGCTTGCAAATTATGAAAGTGCCAAAAAGACAGAGCGCAATAAAATCAGGCAAAGGAAAAGTGGAGTGAACTAGCGAAATGAGATCCAAGGCAGATGATATATATGGTGGGTAAACATATATACGAGGGTACTCGTAACACGATGACCCTGATGGGATGGCGATGTAGATGTTCGGGTAGATGTCCATGTGGATGGTGTGGTACAATGGGGCGTATGCGTTAAATTGAGCGCGTCGTGCCCACAACAAAAACTCCTGGGTGTGTGCTCAAGTATACCCATCCTTATATACATGAACATATATATATATACTTAACCATATCGGTGTGCGATCACCATGACATGAGCATGTCTGCTTAGTCACTTACAACAAAATTGCACACTACGATCGTCATTGCGAGTTTTTCTCCACGGCTCTTCTTTAATTTTTCAGTCTTCAGTCCCCGCCGATTGTGTCTGATTATACGAACGATTGTATCTGATTGCGACGTGGGCGTCAGCCGTATAATTAACACATTGTTACTGGATCCCCGAGTATCTGTGTGCGTCTGCGTCTGCCTCTGCGGCTGTTGCAATGAGTAATGGTAATGGTAATGGAGCAATGGGAAGCGTGTCTAAGTGGGCGTTAAATGGCCGCCTCAATGCGTCCATCATAATCATTATCATCATCGCCATCATCTTTTGGGTAGGCCCACTTATCGCGCCCCACCGAAGTACAAAAAAAAATACGAGAAATAGCTGCCGCACGATAAACGATCGCTGTAAGTGCAGCGAAAAAATGCCAAGTGGCGATCCCAAGAGGCGGCTCTTCAATCAAGGCGACAAAATGATGATGGGGCGGTGAGAAAACACGCTTAGACAATGTTTTTACAACACTGGTTGGAATGCTATAACAGATAGGGGCATTTCAAATGTATAAATAATACAATAGGGGGCATTGCCTAGTTAATAAGCAGAGTATCTTAATTAAAGGAGACAAGAATATTAATGTAGTTTTTGGTTAAAATGACTGGCTTAAGTTCTGGGCATTTACCAACACTACAAAGGAGTTTGGCTGCAACTGTTGTATAATAAAGCCATAAAAGCCATAATAAATGCCTTTAAATTAATTTCCAGGTTTCCTTTAATAAATGCACATAAAAGATCTAACAGCCCACAAATATTCACCCAATCTCGCCCCGACTTTTCCCAAGCCCCTCGATCACTCACGGCACTCACTCCACTCATGATATTCATTTCATTCCTTATCCATTTTCCCCATATTTTCGAGGCTCTGGGGCACTCCCCATTTCGCAGTCGCGACTTGCAGTCACCACCTATCCCCCGGGCTTCCCAAATCCCCATCTCCTGTGGCAACTCATCAGCGGCGGTATGAAATTTTCCGGCACTTTGTTGGCACTTACAGCGGCGCATGCGTGTAAACACAGATCGGGTCGTGGGTTGTGTTTCGTGTCCACCTCCTCAGCCTTTCAGCTTTTCCTCTGCACCTCATAAATTTGCAGCCAAATCAAAAACTGCAAGCGCCATTCGCCACTTTCACAACAGGTTGGAATTGCAATTGCTTTCGGGGATGGATTATAATGGCGGAGTCTGGGGAGATTGCTATTAATCAAGTCTGTGGCTTAGATCTGACCCTTGGGTGTCAATGTCGCACAGAAAACTTTCTTTTTTTTGCGAGGGGGGGCCAAATAAACAAGGGTTTCCTGTCGCAACACCACAATATTTAAAGTTTATCATGAAAAGTCTCTAAAGCAAACCGCAATCAAAATGCAACCTCATTCGGTCTCATTTAATAGCCCTTTCAGTTCTGTTACCAACGTAAGTATTTTAGCAACCTTTGATATTTCGCTGGCAATCAGCAAGTGTTGAGGGTGTTGGATTTTCACAATGACAGTTGTCGTGTGGGTTATTTATGAGGTCGTTTCAGCAGCTTGCATACATAACTAAATGTTTGCAATTAGCTGCTTTTTATGTTACATTTTAATGACAGTTTTGTCTGTGTCTCTATTTCTATTTGCTGTTTTATTTCTGTCAGTTGTTTTTTTTTTTTTGTTCGTTTAGTTATGGTAGCTCCCCGCCTTTTTGTCATGTTTTTCCGCATTGAGGCGAGGCAACCTTGGGGCAGCAAGCCAGCCACTTCATTTGTCTTCATTTGCAATTCGATTGCACTTGACTTGGCCGAAAAGAATCTGGCCAGCTCCATGGCATGATGGCTATGCTGTAAGCAAAATGCAATATAATGATGATGACTCAGCTGCAAGTTGAGTTTTTCGAAGTTTTCAACTCAGTTAGCCGGCCGGCGATGCAGGCGGTCAATGTCAGTTGTTATTGGGGATGGAGATGGACATGGCGATTGCGGGTGTTGGGGCAGGGAAAATCGTAGAACTTGGCTGAGAAATATCCACTCGGACGAGTCGCCGAGAATCGCATTTCAAGACTAACCACTAACCACTTGGCCAGCACATGCTGCCCATTAATTGTCAATACACAGATAGAAAAAATATGGTAGATATGCACATAGTTTTTATATGTTATCTTAAAAAGGATTAGAAAATATAGGACATCTTGCTTTTGATCACTCTAACATTTTTCAATTATGCAAATTAACCGTTTTTGTGCATAACATTTTATCTTGTGGATTTCTAAATCATCTCTATATTTTCTTATGTTTATTACCATTACATTTTGATAACAATTTTCCTTTCTGTGTAGTAATTGCGCGCTAAAGATGCTTACACGACTAACACGGCGTATACTCGATGCTATAAATTATCACCCGGAGATCGGGGGCCTGAATGGTTGTAGTGGAGATGGCGATGGCGATGGAGTGGGTGCGCGATCATT